AGTCCACCCTGACAGGAAATCCAAGCGGATTCTGTCCTGGAATCCTACTGGAAAAATCCGGATACATATGCCGGATTTTGTCCACTTTGTTACTAGGGCTCTACTTCTAGAAATCCGAACCAGGCGTATTGTCTACAACGCGAAGAAACTGATTCGGAAAAAAACATGGCTATCAATCTACTGAGCCTACATACAAACTTCTGAAGGAGCATTATGATCTATAACCTGACATCACGGTCCTTATTCAAGAAATCACTGAAAAATGTCAAGTAGTGTAGTTTTTTCTTACACTTACTACATAATTTGAATATAGGAATCTCGGGTGGACGTCTCTTATGGAATGGTCGTTGAATTAAAAATTTTACACCGAATAAACTGCCAGCTGCAGTGTTCGAAACGTCCTTACGTGCGTAGAGACGGAACTAACATTTAACCGCAGGAAAGGGCTTCAAAATGGTAAAAATAAGAAGAAGAGGACAGGCTGACAGCCAAATGCCGCAAAACGCACAACTAGATTTGCCCGGTAGGCGGGGGGTGGGGGGAAACAACTAAACAGGTCCATCTAGACGTTTATCAATATAGTAAAACAGAACTCTGGGTGCGTGGGAGGCCGAACGAGAAGTATCTATTATAATGGACGACGGCCCATTTGTCTGCGGTTGCTACTCCACCTTGACTTCAGCTGGCACCCAAGTCCCCTCTGTGGGACAAGGTGATTATGATAAGCTCGTCGGTTAGACCGTGGCGACCGCTTCGATTGGTGGTCACGTTGCCCCAACGACCGTGGGTTTCACGTTCGGTTATGAGGGTGAAAATAATCGTACAATGGCAAGTCCGGATGGAAGTTCTACGTGAGGTGTACCCCCGCAACGGGCCATGCATGGTAGATGCGCTGGAGCAACACGCAGTCCAAATCAGGGCACGGCAGGCGTTATTTGAGCTAGTAAATGGCTAAAATGGGGGTAGTAGTTGCACGCATAGGTGCGGGCTTAGGCACCAGTCACCTACGGCCTTTATGGCACTCCCACTCAGTGGGATCTGAACCAGACTGGGCAACT